CACAGAAAAGCTCAGATATATTATACAGATGTTTGGTAGTATAGTAAGTGCTTGTTGACTGGAAATTCATTTGTCTTTCGTTGCAAACTTTTCTGAACAATTTATATTCTCAATGAACATGTTTTTTTCGCTGTTGTTTCGGTACTAATTCTTTAAAAAACTTGTATATTTAAACTAATTTCTACGTAATAAATGTATTTTGCTAACCTGTCAAATTTTTTTGAGAGTTTTTCCTTGTACTATTATCTTTCTCAAAGCGAATATTTTCCTTTTTTCTGCTTCGCAAAACTCGTGTAGTTTTTGGACAGCCATCTTGTTTTTCGCTACTCGCCGTATATGAGCTGATATACGGCGAGTAATTCAACCAATCAGATTGCAGAACAGCTCATATACGATGAATGACTATATTATAATATAGCATTCGACGGCATCGTTGGAAAATACAAACAAAAAATAAGCCTTAATATAGCCCTAAACAGACACTAATTTTTTGTATAGGTAATAGTATGGTTCCGAGTGCAATTTGGAAAAGAAACATTCACGAGTGAGTTTTTCAAAGACTATCAAAATGGACGTCCTATTACCTAACAACCAAAATTTCGATCTCAACAAGTCTAGACAAACATTTCATCACAGCTTGAAAGAGCATCACAAAACTAGTAATATTGCGAAGTTTCGTTGCGAAATGTTGTAAAATGCGGATAATATAGCCCCGCAAAGTTTGCCGTTTTTCAGTCATTTTGTATTACGCACGGGAAATTGGTACCGCTTTCTGAAAAAAGGTATCAATTTCCCGCGCGTAATAGAAAATGACTAAAAAACGGCAAACTTCGCAGGACTATATTATCCGCATTTTACAGCATTTCGCAACGAAACTTCGGAATATTACTAATTTTGTGATGTTCTTTCAAGCTGCATGTGATGTCTTGCTAGACTTGTCCAGATCAAAATTGTGTTCATTAGGTAATACATCCATTGGAACAAAATAAGAAAAGGACTATCAAAATTGGACATGCTGCCACCCCCCGCCATAAATATTACCCCTCCCTATAGGACATGTCCGTGATTTCTGTCCACGAACGCCTGCTTTCCAGACAAGATGAGAGTTCAAAAAATGCAGTCACCTGATGAAGAAGGGAATATCCATTCCTTTTCCACATGCCAGCTTTAACCTGGGCAGCAAACACTAAAACCTTCAAAGGGTACTCCATGTAGAATAAAGCGTCCTCGTCTTTCTACAAAAAGAGAAATCCTTCGGGCATTTGTACAAGGCATTACAAAATAACAAAGATGTTTTCAGAGTATCGAGACGCACCTTGATTTTCAAAACATCTCGAAAGTTTATCGAATGATTCTCACAACATCCAATTAAACCTTTATGGGAAATTACACAATAAATTTAATGATTATCGAAAAATTCTCTATATGCAGAAATTTCCTGTTATACTGCATGCATACAGTATAGCTTAGCTAAGATTTATTCCTGCTTGGTAATAATTATGAATATGTGTATGCGTAGTTTATGGAAGTGAAATTCATCAACTTAAGTCCCAAAGGGGGTTAATTTTCAATGGTTTTATGCCAAAGTTCGACTATACATTTTTTATATACACCCTGTATAGCAGGGATAGCTGTAACAAATTTAATGAGAAAAACTTACCAGCTAGAAATCGCACGATTGGAATATGCAACGACACTTTCTCAGACGAAACATCAAAGTCGTAAACCTTCATCGACTTTTTACCATCTAAAAAGATTGGCAGAATGAATACATTTGTCAAAATCACCATTTAACCATTTGCAAAAATCGCACATCTTGTAGCAAGTCTGCCAACAAGCTGTCAACAAGTTGTGTTCGCACTGCTTGTCCCAAGTTGTCAACAAGCTTGTTGATCTTATCAGATTTGTTGCAAGGTTGTTCCAACAAGTCCGATACAGTCATGACATAACAATATTGTTACAACCTTGTGTCGTCAACCTTGTAACATTCTTGTTACAGTATATCATGACTGTATCAGACTTGTTAGAACAACCTTGTAACAAGTCTGATAATATCATCAAACTTGTTACAAGTTGTTAACAGCTTGTTCCAAACTTGTTACAACAACTGGGAACAAGCAGTGCGAACACAACTTGTCGACAGCTTGTGAACAGATTTGTAACACCTTGTTTGCAGACCTGTAACAATTGTGCGTTTTTACGTTGTGGACAAGTTTCGAACAAGTTGTTGTCAATCTTGTAACAAGGCTGATGAGGCCAACAGACTCGCAACAAGTTGTCCAACAAGCCTGATATCGTCTGCACGTAACAAGGTGTTAACAAGTTGATGACAACAAGCTCGCGTAGCAACTTGTTACGAACAGCCTGTATTAGTCTCGCTGGAACAACTTGTAGCAAGTCTGTTACTGTCATCAACCTTGTAACAAGCTGATAACAACTTGTTCCAGACTTGTCGCAACAACTGGGAACAAGCAGTGCGAACACATCCTGATATCGGCTTGTATGATCATAGGAAGCCCAAAACGGCGTGTAGAATGCACCAATAATGCTTCCAAATGTCAATTTGCATTAAGCTCGCTCCATTCCTTTGTCATTTGTCGCGCGCCGCAAGCACTCAATTTGAAAAGCAGTGTTGATATAGATTATACCTATATCAACACTGCAGGTATATATAGATTATACCTATACTGCAGGTAGGTATAGGTATAGATAGGCAACACTGCAGATAGGTATGGATTATACCTATATAGGTATAATCTATATATATCAACACTGCTTTTCAAATTGAGTGCTTGCGGCGCGCGACAAATGACAAAGGAATGGGGCGAGCTTAATGCAAATTGACATTTGGAAGCATTATTGGTGCATTCTACACGCCGTTTTGGGCTGCCTATGGTATGATATAACATAAAAAGATTTGTCGATGTTATGGTCTCATCCGATCGAAGCCAGTCTAAACTAACCGGAATGATTCTTGAGTTTTGTTGGGCTTGTACATTTTCGGATTTCCTTTAAACAATCCAACGTAAGTGTAATAGACTTGTCTAGAACCTCTCTCTGAAAAAGAACTTTAACATTAATTTCTGACCCTAAAAGCAAAGATGGTTTGCTAATTAACAAACTCATTATTTAGTCCCAATCATTACTTACGGCTACGCCCGTATTCTAAAAGCTCACTCACACTCAATGAGTGGAGGTTCAATCTAAGCTTCTCCTGAGTGTCAATGCTGTTTTTGAATAGCTGGAGGGTGAGTGGTCACATAGTAAGGTATGACACTAGCCCTCCAGCTATTCAAAAACAGCAATGACACTCAAGAGAAGCTCAGAGTGAACCTCCACTCATTGAGTGTGAGTGTGAGTGAGCTTTTTAATTAACCAAAATTTTGATCTAAACAAGTCTAGACAAAATTCCATCATAGCATGAAAGAGCATCACAAAATTAGTAATATTCCAAAGTTTCGTTGCGAAATGTTGTAAAATGCGGATAATATAGCCTTGCGAAGTTTGTAATTTTCAGTCATTATGTATTACGCACAGAAGTGGTAACCATTTCCCGCGTTTGTAATCTAAAATGACTGAAAATTGCAAACTTCGCAAGGCTATATATTATCCGCATTTTACAACATTTTGCAACGAAACTTTGGAATATTACTAATTTTGTGATGCTCTTTCAAGCTGTGATAACCTGAGTATAGCGAAATATATTGCAAATGTAGCTTATATTAAATCGCCACCCGATTGCTCTCTCCTCCGCAGAGGTTTCAGTGACTACAATGAGCTTTACATGGCGCTTGCCGTATTTATCAACAGTGACGTATAATTATAAAGTATATATATATATATTAAGTATACTTTATAACTATACGTCAGTCGATAGTGCAATCTGATGGCGATTTAATATAAGCTACATTTGCAATATATTTCGCTAATTTGCGATTATTTTCTAATTTTACTGCAGTTTTAATTTAAATTCAGCCGTTTAGTGGGTCGGCTATAATTGTAGTTGTGATCGTTATAAAATATATCAACAACAATAGTATAATCTAATTAGCACCAGCCAATCAAATGACAGATTTAAAAATCGTTTGTCTAATCGGCCAATCAGCGCTCAGTCCAGATTCTGGACTGAACAACCAGGCAAAATGCCACTTTTGTGTCAGGCCGTACTTTTCTAAGAAATATTTCAATGGTTTTGGCAAACAAAAGGCGGCAAGCACCAAAACTTGTCAAGGGGAAACTTGTCCAGGAATAAAGGAATACCGAATGGTTTTCCGTGCAGGATTGCGTGATCCATGCACGAGGGATGTCGCGAGACTTTCGGAAAGCGTAAAATTACTCGAGCCGCAGACAAGTGTATTTTTACGCTTTCCGAAAGTCGAACAACATCCCAAGTGCATGGATCACGCTATCCTGCGTGGAAAACCATTTGGTAATTGTTTTATAAAATAACCACAGTGAAACAATGACATTTTGAGAATCCCGCGAAAATCCCGCGAAGGCATTTAATTCCTCGTGCAGGGTAGCCTGATCCCGCACGGCAATTGACCAATCAAATTGCGTGTTTCACTGTAGTTATTATATAAAACTTCTTACGTCACTTTCGCACCATCTTGTTATAAGAGGCACCAATACTGTAAGACGCGTTTCAAAATCATAGTCACGATGCCATTCTGGTTCCATTTCAACATGGATTCCAGTTGCACGTTTCAACATACCCACACCCTTTTAGAAATACGAAAAGAATACGTCATTAGTATGGGAAGCCTTTACTCAGCTTTAAGAAACCATTTAGAACTGATAGAGCTATCCAGAATAAATAAAGTTAGTTTAGTTTAGGTTTCCTCCTGTAGTAACACTGAATCAATAAGAGATGATCCTTACTGGACCTCTAGGGAGAACAGTTTAGAACTGATAGAGCTATCCAACATAAATAAAGTTAGTTTAGTTTAGGTTTCCTCCTGTAGTAACACTGGATCAATAAGAGATGATCCTTACTGGACCTCTAGGAAGAACAGTTTAGAACTGATAGAGCTATCCAGTATAAATAAAGTTAGTTTAGTTTAGGTCTCCTCCTGTAGTAACAGTAGGTCAATAACAGATGATCCTTACTGGATCTCTAGGAAGAACAGTTTAGAACTGAGAGCTATCCAGTATAAATAAAGTTAGTTTAGTTTAGGTTTCCTCCAGTGGTAACTGGTAACACTGGATCAATAAGAGATTATTCTTACTGGGCCTTTAGGAAGAACAGTTTAGAACTTATAGAGCTACCCAGTATAAATAAAGTTAGTTTATAGTTTAGGTTTCCTCCTGTAGTAACACTGAATCAAAAAGAGAAGATCCTTACTGGAGGAAGAACAGTTTAGTAACACTGGAACAACAAATTTTCTCCAATATACTCACCTGGAATCGACGGAACATTGACAAGAAAAGTTCGAGAAATTTGTAAAATTTTGCTTTTAAATTTTCAGTCCATTCATTTGGTTTGTTTTGAACAATATACCTAGTAATCCAATACAATAATGTTTTTCAATGTCTAAACCATGTATCTAACAGGCCCTAAGGCCATGTTACACGGTGCAATTTTTCTTGAAACTTGCAATGCAATTCTACTCTTGAGAAATGTTAATTAGTGAAATCAGTGAAGAATTTTCGATATGTTGAGAAAACATCAGCGAGTGTAATGAAGACTCGTATTTGGCAATTTTACATCTCTTCAGAGTAGAATTGCATTGCAAGTTGCAAAAAAAATTGCACCGTGTAACATGGCCTTTAAATGATGAAGGAGAGTGTTTTAATTAAACTGTGTTCAAGTAGACAATAAAGTACAAGGTAAAACGACTGACCTTAAATCATGTAAAACAAAGTACAATCTTGATGACTTGTTGCGTTCATCCCGACTGAAATCCATCGTTCCGTCATCTGCGCACAATAAAAATTTACTCAACTACACACGTAAAAATCTGACATCTTGTAGCGAGTCTGCAAACAAGTTGTGTTCGCACTGCTTGTCCCAGGTTGTCAACAAGTTTGGAACAATCTGTTAACAACTTGTGACAAACTTGATGTAATATATGAACAACGAGAGCGAGTGTTTCACCGTTCGCGCTCGTGTTTTCATACATTGTTTTCGAGTGTTTGGATATCCCGGTGAGACACGAGCTCGAGTTGTTTATATGGCTTCTCAAATGAATCGAGACGTAACAGAATGTTTTCGTTCGCTGATTTGAATAGAATTCTTAACCAAGCATAACGTAATTAGGAATTCTATTCAAGTAATTTTGCATGCCTACTGTAATTAAGATATTTGATGAAAACACTAGTGATTTTCATCAAGTTTCACCGGGTTATCCAAATGGCATCTTGTGATCAAATAGGTGATTATCATTGGCTGAATTGCTCATGAATTATTAATGAATTCGAGAAGGTATTATCAGATTTGTAGCAAGGTTGTTCCAACAAGTCCGATACAATCATGATAAAACAATATTGTTACAACCTTGTGTCGTCAACCTTGTAACACTCTTGTTATATCATGACTGTGTCAGACTTGTCCCTGATAATGCCATCAAGCTTGTTACAAGTTGTTAACAGCTTGTTCCAAACTTGTTACAACAACTGGGAACAAGCAATGCGAACACAACTTGTCGACAGCTTGTGAACAGATTTGTAACAACTTGTTTGCAAACCTGTAACAACTTGTGCGTTTTTATATATATACTTGTACACACGTCAAAATCTCACAACTTGTCAACAAGATGTGTTCGCAACAGGCTTGTAGCGAGCTTGTCAACAAGTTGTAACAATGCTGTCATTTTATCAAGTTACTACAAGGTTGTCACTCACAACTTGTTGACAAATTGTTGAATTGCAGGAAGATAACAAGTTGTTGGGACAAGTCTGTTGAGCTCAACAACCTTGTAGCAATTGTTCAACAGGCTGGGAACAAGCAGTACGAACATATCCTGTCGACAAGTTGTTGGAACAGCATTGCTACAAGTCTGCTGCACGTCGAGGAATCGAAATTGAAAACGGTCTTTACTGCACTGTACCTCCCACGAAACTACTAGTTTTGTCCAAGACAACTCCGATGACGATCTCCATTAGCTCATAGTTGACAGCTAGCATTTGAACCTATAGAAAGGTAGTTGCTATGTTAGTCTGCCAAGTTATCACAGTAGACAACAGCAAGATCGCCACTAGAATGTTTCAGCAGGGTGCAATAATTCCCCCAACGAAGCCCGGGGCGAGGGTACTAATTCCGCCCGGCTATTTACACCTGGGGAAACGAAAGCATAGCGAAGTCTAAAGTTCATCAATGATCGCGGGCGTGGGTCACCAACGAAGTTTCGGTGGGTGGTCATCCTCGCTGATCTCAAAAATATGGCGGACTGTCATGAATAGCGGACACTGATTGGTCAAATTTAAAGTTTGCATTATAACGACTGCATGACGACAGCGAAATAGGAAATATTTCTTGATTTGATCACAGAATAGAAAATAGCCTATTTTCTATTCTGTGATTTGATGATTGAATATTGATGAATGATGATTTCTTGCAAATATATTTCATTTTTGCAAGATTTTGTGAATTTCAAAAGCTTTTTAAGAAAAGGCGAAAGAATTATTAAAAGAAGGGAGTAAAGAATTATTAAAAGAAGGCACCGACGTTAACGAAGGTGAAAATTTTGCGTGCGGAAATTCCTGCCACATTTGGGCCGAATATGGTAGCAATTTCCCACGCAATACAAACCAGGTGATCTGACGGTTAGCGAAAGGACTGGGACTAGCAACAGAATAAAAATCCAATTTCGTAACTTTGATCACTTGTCACGCCCTGATTCTTTTGTGAAACTGTTTGAAACTTTGTGTGTGTGTCTTGCACAGGGAAATTAATGTCTGGGACAAATTTGGGATAGAAATCTAATACCGTTAAAGATATATTGAGTAATTTTAAACCAGAAATGGATTTCTATTTTACAACTAGTGCCAGGCCTTTTCCGAGTTCCGAGATCACCTGGAAAGTATACAAAATTTGCAAACTTTGCAAGGCTATATTTCCCGCATTTTACAACATTTCGCAACCAAACTTTGCAAATTTACTAATTTTAGTATGCTCTTTCTAGCTGTGGTGATTTGTTTGCATCTCCTTGCCTAGTTTTAAAATTAGTCTTTATTAATGGGAATTGTCTATTGTTTTGGCAATTGCCGAGCAAGGCGAATTATATAACGGAGAAAACCGAGACCTTGGTAGAATCATGGATTATAAAACAAATGGATAGGAAACTAGCTGACGTGACCTAATGTTTTAATGGGCTGATGGCGTGGTTGGATGTTGAAACCTAGTTGCAAACCAAATTCTCAAAAACGGCATGTTTAGCAATAATACAGCTCTAAACATTTTAGTGAAAGGGAAAATAAATATAACCACGCCATTCTACGATGAAAACTTTAAGTATTCCCAGTCAATGTTAGCAAATATTTCAAGCACTAAACAGTGAAAAATACATCGCAAATTTCGTTAAAATTTGTGACGCCAATTTCGTAGCTCCAAATGTAAAAAAATACAAAACAAAGACGAAAAACATTTACCTTAAATACTTTGTCGTGGCTTAGGCATGCTTTTAAAACAATGAGACCAGTTTATGCTTCAATATCACCCTTTTAAAGTGGAAAATATAGCAAAACAACAAAAATGCCGAGAACTTTGGTAACATTCGCAATACGCGTGACGTCACGTTTTTCAACAAGGATCCAGTCAATGACGTGAGGAAGTTTCCTATCCAGTTATTTTACAATCCATGGTAGAATGCATATATATATATATATATATATATATATACCGGGTGGCGCAAAAAAAAGTATAACTGTTTGATTTAGTACAGCGAACAATCTATAAGGGTTACATCCCTGAAATAAACGTAGCTGTATTCATAATAGTCTAACTTAAATTTTGAGCTATAGCATGTTTATTTACGTGCAATATTGACTGGGATATCGCCAAATGAAATTTGGAACGAAGTTTTGAAAATCTGACAAATTGGCTAAAAATGGCCTATTAAACTGTTTTGATAAATTTTAGAATTTCGTCAGACATATTCGCTTGTATGAATTTAATTTGAATTGAAACGTGTAACGAATGATTTTCCTTATTTATTTATTTGTTTTATTATCATTTGAAAAGCAACAAAATTTCGAAAAAGATGGCTCTTTTAATTAAGAATTGCTTTGCAGTATTCCATGTCCCATAGCTACAGGGAATTAAATTAGATCAACAACCGAACAATTTGAGACAGCTTCGTGAAGCGATTATTGCTGATTGCCATAACTTTGACCAGCAAATAAATCCAACGTTAATTCGTTCGATAGTATGGTCACACGTGCAAGAATATAGTTATTTAATTTTCCATGATAAACGCGTTATTTACTGCCGTTGTGTTCTTCATATATCGTTAATTCCTTTACTCGTATTTAATAGGCTATTTTCAGCTAATTTTGGAACGTTTTGAAATTGCATATTCAAATTGATTTACCAATATCTTGGGTAATACTAAACAAAAATGCATGTGTTATACATCAAAATTTAAGTCAGGCCTTCCTGGATAGGATAACATTTATTTGAGGAACGTAACACTTATAGTTTTTTCGCTGTACTAAATCAAACGCGTGAACTTTTTTTTGCGCCACCCGGTATATATATATATATATATATATATATATATATATATATATATATATATATATATATATATATATATATATATATATATATATACTGGATTCCATCAATCAAGAAATCAGATCAACCACCAACGCAAACCAATGGAGAAATTCCCAATCTGTAATCAACTGGTTCAAAGACATCGAACACAAATCTCAGTATAACTTTGTTTCTTTTGATATCGTCGACTACTACCCTTCCATCAGTGAAGAACTCCTCGATAAAGCCATCGCTTGGGCCAAAACTATTGTTAATATTACTGACGAACATGTTTCAATCATCAAACACGCCCGCAGATCCGTTTTATTCAATTCCACCAAACCATGGATAAAACGAAACAGTCCTACAACATTTGACGTCACCATGGGGAGCTTTGACGGTGCGGAAATTTGCGAACTTGTTGGTTTGTATGCATTAAACAAACTAAGCGCGAGATTTGACAGCAATAACATCGGATTGTACAGAGATGACGGATTAACCCTGATCAAAGGTACCAGTCCACGACTAGCAGATAAAGCAAGAAAAGACCTGTGTTCTGCATTCCAGGAATTGGGACTGAAGATCACTGCCGAGGTAAACTACAAAACTGTTAACTTCCTCGATGTTACGCTTAATCTTACTAATGAGTCATACAAGCCCTACAGAAAACCAAATAACGACCCACTGTACATTCACAAAGAGTCCAACCATCCACCATCAATCACCAAACAACTCCCAGCAGCAATCAACCGCAGAATCGCGTCATTATCATCCGACAAAAAAACCTTTGATTCTGTTGCTTCCACTTACGACTACGCCCTGAAGCAGAGTAATTACAACACCAAACTTCAATACTCAGCTGCTGAAACAACGTCTACAACCGAAAGTCGATCGCAAAACGAGAAACATAAACGCACAAGAAGAATCATCTGGTTCAACCCGCCGTATAGTAAAAACGTACGAACCAATGTCGCCCGAGATTTCTTGAATTTAATCGACAAACATTTTCCCAAAACATCACCCCTTCATAAGATCTTCAACCGAAATACGATCAAAGTTAGCTATAGCTGTATGAATAGTGTAAAGAGCGTCATATCGAGACATAACAAACGCGTATTGAGAGAATCTAAATCCGAAGAATCTACCAATGATAACAACATTGAAAAACTTTGTAACTGCAGAAATGTAAACGAATGCCCGCTTAACAACATGTGCTTGACGAAAGATTTAGTTTATCAAGCCGAGGTAAAAACGAAAGACAACAACGATATAAAAACCTACATTGGTATGACAGCGACAACATTTAAGGAGAGATACAGAAATCACAAGAAATCATTCAATGACATTAAATACGAGAATGAAACTGAACTTTCTAAACATGTTTGGAAACTAAAACTAAATAGAAAACAATTTAATATCAAGTGGTCCATCTTATCCCGAGCAAGTTCAATCAAAGCCGGTGGAAATAGTTGCAATTTATGTTTAGAAGAGAAATTGCAAATACTCCGTAGTTATAATTCACGGTCTAATTTAAATAAACGTAGCGAAATTTTCCTGAAATGCGTGCATGCGCGCAGATTCCACGCGGGACGATTCAAACGAACACGCGTCAGCAAACATTGCGAGTAGTAAAACGCAACAACTTAACCGTATTAATATGTTGCCTGATGATTGCTTGTTGCATGAAACTTAAAGTAGCAACTTATTCAATTGAAAAATTGTATTAAAATATTAAATTATTATATATATATATATATATATATATATATATATATATATATATATATATATATATATATATATATATATGCTGGTTGTGCGATCAGTAAGAGACATGTTTTCGTTTATTGTTGTAACTGATCTATTATATACAATTAAAAAAGATAAAAAAGTATACTGAATTTTCGGTCGCTAACTGCGACCTTCCTCAGAGTTAACTGATGTCAAGTTGATTTGAACAAGTTTAAATTCTTAGCGTATGCAAATTTACAAGGTATGCAACAAAGGCCAATAAATTTGCGGGAAAATTTTACGCTCATTAACTGCCATTGTCTCCTTTGTTGAGTGTAATGACTCGAGAAATATACGTTTATCATAATAATGTACGCCCCTCTCTATGTATATTCAACTCACTCTTGTACAAAAATTTAGTTAAATTCGTCCAAGTTTGTTATTTATACAAGAAAAATTTCGTCGCCATATTGGATTTTTGTTGTTTTGATTTTCCGCTCCCCCATCCATCGCGAAAATCATCAATTAAACACTGGAGAGTGCAATTAATGAAATAATTGCCCTACTCTTAACCAATCAGATTGCAGTAATTTTGTCATGTATATAATAAATGTGGTTGATTCAGTACCTTTACAACATTCAATTGACTTCGTAAAGGTAATCCTCGGGAAGTTTTCCAAAACAGCACCGTCTCAAATTTCTGC